CTCCTGGAYAGGGTAAAGGCTGCTGAAGTTCTGGGTCATGCTCATGAGAGGCTGCCTGGACCAGCAAGGATGTGGTGACAAATGGAAAATCATCTCTGAGTTGGACTTTTAAAGACGGCTCCTACAGAATTGGCTAGACCGTTGCTTTCCTGAAGCTTTCCCATGGGTAAAACACAGGCTGTGGCTCTTCATTCCCATGAAAGGCCCTTTGATCCCCCTTGATGAAGCGCTTTATGTATATTGGGAGTTAGTATAATTGACTCCGATGGCTCAAGGCGCTTCCTCATCCACAAAATTTCTCTCTGTAAAATATTTGTTCTAAAAACCTTATATAACGTGGCTGTTTAAAGTGTGCACCAGATCAAGAGGAATGCATGTGCAGCGTTGGGAAAAGGTTCCATTGCAGGTAATTGAAAATATTCCTTCCTCATTATGAACAGTGTTTTGTGTGGCTGCTTGGTCTCAATGAGAGTCCAACCGCACATAGTCACAAGGCTAATTTATGCCTAAAATTAGCCCAAYTCTTGGTAAATACCTGAGTAATTTGTCATGCAAATTGAGTCTGTGCATAGCTATTATTCACTGAGCGCCATTCTTAGAATTGGGATCTTTCCAAGACTCTTTTATGCCTTGGAAGACTAGCAAGGCTTGAGTCTTACGAGCTCAGAGAGGCAGCAAGGTCCTGAGGCTCTTATGGGTCATGAGACCATGGGTACATCCTCCCTCTCTATCCATTGCAAGACACTCATTTTCTTGCCTCTGTGAATTTTCACAGTAAGTGCTTTTTTGGTGTGGAGAGGACGGTAAACACCAGCTGTATCTAAAAACTCACTCATTTTGTTAATCTAATGGAGGAAARGAAAACATTCCTGGCATTATGGTTTTATCAGCTTACAAACATGTGATATAAGTCTACATGCCTTGGAATAACAACAGAAACAAGACTGGGAAAGGAAATATTGAAATCTGGATGCTTTAATAAAGACAACCAGAAGCACAGAACTTTGTGTAACCTTCAGATCTTTTCCCACTCTACATCTTAGCAGCTCTGCAAAACATCATCAAGTATTCACAGACTTTGGGGACCTCTAAATAATTTTTTTTGAATTCTTTATCTACTGATTGMCCAGCCCGTGCATTCAGGACAATAAAGAACGACAACAAAAGCAATAAACAGTGGAATTTCCCCTCTTTCACCCAAGAGGAAAGTTTAAAAAGTTAACCAAGTTCATCAAATGAGCACAGTTTGGGTTGTTTTGCAGAAAGGGAAAACTGTAGTTTCCAGGGAAAAGGGGTGAGAGGAGTTGAGCAGTTCCAGGGTTAAGAAGGTTCAGAAGAAGTGATAATTCTCTCCTGTATAGCACTCAAAAATACATCCTTCTTCTTCCCAACTCTGTGACAAACTCATCTGCCATGGGTCRAAACCACTCTTGAAATCACCATTCAAATGCTGTTTTCACCTCATGAGGGTATTTTTTCAGAAATAGTTGAATTTGTGCTTTGGCAGAGTATTGGCCAAGAGCCAGGTTCAGTCTGTTCTGAAGTGCCAGACTTTACAGGGGTACAGGCAGTTATTTATACTTTCAATTGAAAAGTTTAATTAGCCTTTTATAAAGACAGTTTTATGAGGCAAACTCTCTATGTGCTGCAGAAGGTTCCTCCATAACCGTAAGACCACAAGGGCTATAAATTTTACAATATACTTTTA